TCCCCACAGGTGTTTCTCCCAACAAGCTTTTTTTTTCCTCTCCCCCATGCCCACATACAGTAGTCAACTCCTGTATTGTATTGTTAACTGCTATAGTATGTAATTCTGTGCAGTGCTCTGTCATAAACTTTAAAATGGCAATAGAGAAAATAAAAGACTTTCAATCAAGATAACCCTGTGACCTTAACTTGAGGAGTTGACAAGATTGTTTGATTATTAATCCCACTGTATTTCTTCTTACATTCAGCACCTGCACTACCATTTGGCATACAGTATGTTTAGAATGGATACAAAATGAAATATGATACAAGTTGATGCTGCTTATGTTTGCCCCTAGCTACACAAAATGAAACATGCCAGACTTTTTTCTAAATAGACGTCACTAAGTCCTAAGTAATGCACTCAAGTATGGGGATTTTTTTTCTTCATATCCCCAAAACTACAATGATTCAGATGTATTGCACCCCAAATATCTTGATAATGTTAGTTCTGTGAAATGTATATTTGAGACTTATAATAGGAACCCCCCTGTATTAGCTAGGGACATCCGTGCAGATTCCCGAGTGGTTAAACCCATAAAGTCAGAGTATAGGCTGAGCTTTATGATCTAGAAGTTGCTAGCTCTAGGCCTGATTCATGTCTCTAATAGACTAAGAACCACCACAGTAGAGCTGGAAAAAATTGTCCAGATCTCTTGACTTTCTGTGTAACAGTATCATGTGAATTACCACGCCCGTGAAGCCTTGCAGTGATACCAGTGAGAGATGTGTTAATTCTGCAGTTAGCACTGATTGTTCTGTCGAGTCCTGTGGAGACTGCAACACGTTAAATGATAAATGGCTTTGTAGTTAAGTGTGTTGGAAGACCATGTCATGTCCGTGTGTCTTGTTCCACCTGACTGGTACAGGAGTAGTCGGCAAAGAGATAAGTCTTAATAATTGGTGATTTCAAATAAAATAAATACATGTTTACATCCTCTTCACAGGCTTTCTACATCCATTCTTTCAAAATAAAATAATTACACCTTTGTGTACTGATATACTGGTACACATTCCTCTTTATATTCTTTCCACTAGTATGGTGCACTGCTGGGATCTAACCAATGTCACCTCTACTTTGAAACTTTCTAAAGATCCAGATCCACTTCTAACTATTTTCAATGAGGCACATACTGTGACAGATTGTACCTCAGGCAACCCAGAACTGAATGCTTTGTTGTGTGAGATTTCTCATGTGCAGGTTTGAACTTTACATCAGTATTCCTATATTGTATAAACACATGGAAGCAATGTCAGTGTTTTGGTTTTGCCAACTGTAAAGTACAGATACCTTATAAAATGCATGGATTTTGTAGTAATGTCTTAAATATTAAAAACAGGGGTTGAAAAAATGTATTAAGGAAAGACTTTTAGACTTTTAACACAAATGACAAACAGACTTTCAAAGGTGATTTTTAAGAAGTTAATAACAGAACCTCAATTTTTCAGGGAAATGATGAAGCACACATAGGGAAAGTTTTTTTTTTTTCCAGAGCAAAGGTTACAGTTTAAGTTGAAAACCACAACTAAAAAACTGTTATCTCTTCTGACCATTCCAGGAAAGACATAGAACTATACAGTACATCCCCACATGTAAGTAAAACTGTTCACCAGTAAGTATGATGTCCACATACAGTACTATATATACTGTATACTGTATATTTATTTTGCCTCTTTACATAAAACTGAGCACCAATAGCTCTCGATTTTCCAGGAGCTGTGTGTGTTGCAAGACAAAGGTGCCATATTAATATTGCTGAATGAGAGCTACCATCTTGGAATATATGAAAAAAATTACTTTAACAGTTACAACCACACACATTGGTACAAAAAGAATTTTCTCTTACATAATGTGTACAAATATTGGACACTTTGGCTTTAAAGATGAATTTTAAAAAGCAATTCATCTTAAATAAATGGACCTACTGCATAATGCATGTACTATATACACATACTGTATAAAAATGTATATTTGGAGCTATAGAAAATAGCTTACTCAATGAGACACACTGTTAATAAACATTATGTTATTACAATATCTTGGAATATTTCACATTTAAAATATAAAATGTTTTTTTTTTATCAAAAGCAACAGCAGACAACAAGAGCTCAGTTAAGATGGAGACTTTACTGCACTGATGAAAACTGATTGTAGTAAAACCACTAATGCGGAATGCTTAGACCACTAGAATATACAAGAATATAAGTAAACAAAAAGGATAAGGATTATAATAATTACTTTGTATGATATATAGAATATATCACAGCCTCACAAATAGCCTGTTTTGTGTCTTATTTCAAGGTGTTCAAATTGGTTACGTTTGGTAAAAAAAAAACAAGTTGAACTCTCATAAAAAGTGAAAAAAATTACCTCAGGCTATTCTGTTTTATATGTGTACACTAAGAGACTTACTGCAACCACTGTACAGATTTTTTTTTTTGCAACACAGCTTTATGCTTTTTTATAAATATGAAGGTATTACAAATAATACAATTTTAAAGATATCCTGCCTTCAAAATTCTACCAGACAAATGAAAGCAAGGGAATCGCACTGTGCTGCAATGGTATTCTCACGCACAAAAATCAGATTAAACAAAAAAATAAAATAAATCAATGGCAGAAGTGTCCGGAAATAATAGTAGGAAATAATAACATAAAACAATAAGGTACCTTTAGCTTGGATCCATGAGGGATAGGTGAAGATCCGTCTTCCTTAGGGGGGATGTAGAGGTCCCACTTCCCATATTCACGCTGGGTGTAAGGGTGTGAGAAATTATTCCAGCCATCTGAAAATAAAGAGTGCAAATTATATTAGAATTCATACTGCGTTTATTTTGATTTCAGTATTTTCTCAGGTAAGCCAAGTGAGAAGAAATTCTCATTAACAACCTGGAGACCTATTGTTACATTTACTGGAGCAATCTGAAGGAAGTGCCAACAACAGCAGCACCCCATGGTCTAATTCAGAGTCCGGATCCCTCACTCCATGCTGCTGCCATTTTTTCTGCTCTTTGTTGTTGAGGTTTTTAAGGAATGTCCGGTCAAGAGATATTTCTGGTTACCAGCAAAAGTCAAAGAGGCTGACATGTAAAAATGGCACATGGTACGTACGTAGTTGGGAAGAAAAAAATATTAAAACAGGTGAGATGTGATCGTTGGGCTCTGTACACAACTGGTATGCTTTTTTGATGGGAACTGCTGTATGAAGGTACAATATCTCTCTTACCTCATATTCCTGCAGTAATTTTTTTTAAGCTGGTGTCACAATCATGACAGTATGTATTCCTTTTGCAGCTTCATTACCATTGAATTGAAAAGATCATCATGACTTTTCCCACCAAATACTCATATTTCAATGTCTCACCTTTCACTGGTTTAGTCAGATGATTACACTCTATGCACTGTCTCTTGCTTTCTTGTTCATTGTGGTAGACTCAAGTTTCATGACATATCCACAATGTATGCTAATGAACAAGCAAAGGCTAATTCCCTGCTGAAAAGCGGAGAGAAGTTACATTTTCTAGACAGCAACACCAGATGTTTGTATTTGGATAGTGCTTGGTTTTTGGTTTTGCTTGCATTTGCTTGGATTTGGTTTAACATTTAATGTGTTCAGAATACATCTCCGATTGTGCAGTGATTCATAGAACTATACAGGAGTATTGGTTTTGAAATTCTCATCCTGGGCACCACCTACTGGTGCACAAACACTACAGTACAGCAGCATCCCGATTTTCCTTAGACGTCTCTTATCCTTTGCTATTTATCTGAAGAAATCAGACTACAAAAGGGGATACACCATACTTTCCTTAGTTTCAATAAACACTTCTTTTTCCACCAATTTGAAATGGTGTTAAATATGACTGCTTTCAATATGTCTTACTGAGATGACTTGCAAGGTCTACCTAATTATTGAGAATGTTGCAGCCAGTAATGACCCACACTACTATTTACACCTTTACTCTGGTTATACTGTATACTGTATATAACCTGTCAGTAAGTCTTTCAAATATACTTGCTTGACTTTGTTTGTTACTGGTTTACTGTTTCACATTAACCATGTTGCGTATACTGACTGAAAGTGGAAAAATTCTATTGAAATAAAAAAGCTGCCTTTATGTACATTGACTGTAGTCACTTATTACTTTCTCAAAGTGATGTAGTTGTAAAACATGCAAATATGTATGCAGTACATTAATTTTCCTAAGGTACCAAAATGCCACAAGAATTTAATAAAAACTTAAACCATCTTTTTGCTCAACCATAAAAAAACGTTTATTCATTTTCCCGTATCTATTATTTACATGCCTTTAACTAATACAAATAAGATTGCACATCTGCTTAACCCCTTACACCATCTGTCTAGAGGTACAATTTTCTTGGTTACCATGGATTAGGCTTTTAGATTATCAAATCATCTATTACACATCCTTCCCCATTAATGCGATGCTTCTTCCCTGCTAAGGTATACAAACTATTGTACATGCAATTTAAAATCTCAATAATCTATTTGCTGCAGGCATGAGACAGCAGGAATTGGTTAGCTCAGCAAGATATACAGTACTGTACATAAAATATAAAAAAAACAACTAAACTCTGCTTAATTTTAATAACTCTTAAGCAAAGCTCAGTTTACTACGATGGGTCATGGGTAGCATACACAGCAGGTCTTTTGTGTATTTTCATAAAGAATAATATGATCTTTGATACATGAGGGAATTAACTAAAAGTTTTCACTAAAATATTGTATTATATCTTGTTAACAACTGTATGGATCTTTTTACTTATATTTTACTAAATCCGTCCCAGGATGTCTAGTCTCAAAAGATAACATAGCCACATACTGTAGCATAGCTGGTATAGTTCTCGGGGAAATGACCAGTGACTTCTCCTGGAACAAATGGTCTATTCAGCAGAGGGTGCTGCTTGTCACACAAGTTGGCAGTAAATAAAATATATGTACTGGTCAGCTTTCTAGAATGACCATATACTGTATAGCCACAATGCAAGCAGAGAGTCATGTGGGAGTGTATCTTGTATCATTTGTTTCACTGTATAAAAGAGCACTGTAAGCATTGTCTTTTAAGTCTTGTGCCCAAAAGCAAGACTTCCCTATGCATATGAAATCAAGACGACTTCCAACACCCAAACTATCAGCTGATGCCCTTTGTTTGGCACAACATACACAAAAAATAAAACTGCATTTATTTAAAAGTCTTTGCCAGTAAACTGATCTGAAAGCTACACTACTGTCTCAGCTTCATGGGCTTTTTTAGCATATTTATGCCATACTGCATACAAGCCACTCTTTCTCCATTGTCATCTGCACAGCTACTATTAACAACACAGTCTATGAATGTTAACTCATAATCAGATTAATTTTGTATAACATCAGTTATCAGGGAATGATGATACCACAACTGATTGCATTATCATTATTGTATTTCTATTTACGATTTTGTAGCTTTTATCCACAACAATCTATAGAGATGTGGAGGTTAAGATACAGCAGCAGAGTCACTTACAGCAGTACCTTCTTTGTAGATACATATGGTACAGTATATCAAAGTCTTTAATATTTTTTTTTAATATAACCTGATAGGGAATAATAATATGGAATCAGATAACTAAAGAAATTTTGGCAGCTAAAAATATCACTTGTGGATATTTTGGACGTTCATTCTATCAACTTTTGTATTCTTATAGTTGTAATGGACAATGATTCTCTAATAGACTGTAAGGTAGCGCATTGCACCCAAGTGGCAAAATAGATTAAGACAGAAATAGTTTATTATTATAGCTTATTGTGAATGCAATGTGCCTCCTTCAGGTTTACACGCACATTTAAAAAAAAACTGGATTTTTTCTTAATGCAGATTTTAGCAACGAGTAATCAGGAAACAATTTAACTTTAAATTTTAATAATGATACATAAATAATTCACACATACCGCACGGTAGTGGCTTTAAAACCATATGGTATCATACTGAATATACAGTATATGTATACAGTATAGTATACAATCACACTGCAGTTCATTGACCTGTATGCTACTTTCGTGGATATGACTTCATGTGATTTGCATATGTGGAACATCGGGAAACGAGATCCAGTGGGGTTTTGTTTTGATTATACTATGAATTAGTCCCTGAGGCCTATTATCCAAGATTTCAAAATTATAAAAAAATCAAACCTTTGTTCAATTTGAATGAGAGAATGGGGTACCTTTTGTAATTTTGCTTGAAGAATTTAAAATCCGTCTGCCTGATGTTGCTTTCATTTCACTGAGCAGAAAGTCACCTTGCTCTTACAAGCTACTGTGTTAGTCACCACTTTGACTGAATTTGTTTCACCTTTATTACCTTTCTCCAACCGGGAGGGGTTTTAGGCTGAAGTTATTGTATTCCTTCCTCAATTTAACATCTGATAAAACAAGCCAAGGTGTATGTGCGCACCAAGAAAACAAATTCCAGCTCCAAAAAATGGATCAAAGATCCTGGATCAGCCCCCAATTATGTCATTTTATGTTATATTATCTCCATTAGTTACACCTAGGGGAAAGTCAGTAATGCTACTCTTCCACAGCTCAAAACTCTTTCTAAACATTTTCATCAAACCTGGGCCTACAATGAAAAACACAAAAGATGTCCAGTGAAGAGAAATGGACAGATCTAGATCAATAATTTGACATATATGGATGTTGAAGATGGTATAAAGAAAGAAATAACTGATTTAGGTTTGGTCTTCATGTTGATATAGTGGGGTAAAATATTACTAATACGATCGACAAACATTAAAACAAGATTATTGTATTGTTTTTCACATACATTCTTAAATCTTACTTTGCTTTCATTTAACTTTACTCGTTAAGATGTTAATAATCTTGATCGTCCTTTGTGTAACTGTGCAGATTAAAAAACACATAAATTTTACTTGTATGCACTGTGACCTATTGGATTACAAAATACTTTTATTGATAATAACCACTTACTTCATATATTTTTCTCTGCTTTAATTGTGCTGTTTCCTAACCGTGAAAACTGATTTCATGAACTAGCATTTTACTCTAAAACCGAATACTTAAACAGAAAAATATAGTCCACATATTTTCAATGAAAATTATAGCCTATTATATTGTACTAACTCACATTTGCTGATATACAGTATTAGATACTCAGAAACCCCTCAAAAAAGAGCTTACAAACTCTAGTCATTGTCAAGATATCCTCTCCAACACGTACAATCTTATAATAATTTTGCAAGTATACTGTAAATACAATTTGAACAACACAATACATACTATCTGTAATGTCTTAAATATCGTGATACACTGCAATTTAAGAGTGTAAACAAACCCCTAAAAGAATTAGTTTTCAAATTACTTACAATTACCTATTTTTAAGTTATATTGTCTTTTGTTAGAATGTACAATGATAAAATGAAAGTAAAGATAAAAAATAACTAAGACTTGATTTTCTTTTTTATCAATGCCATGGTACTTCAGATGAAGCAGTTCTTAATGTTTCTTGGAGGAAAACAGTAAGAAACAGGAGGTGTCACCTGTAATGTAATTAAAAGTAAAATGAAATGGGCTCTATATTCAATCCTTTCTCCATTAGCATTTTTTTTGTTGTTGTTCTCAGAAGGCTACTATAAAGCTCCACAAAAGCTTCCGGATGAACAATAAATTAATCACACAAACCAAAAAAAATACACTGAATAAACTATGACATTGTTCTGTATTATAATTCCTTCAGAAAAAGTGATGGTTATAGCAATTTTATGC